TATATAGGAAGAGGAAAAAAGAAATAGAAAGAAAAGAAAGAGAGAGATCGAAAGAGAGTAAGAGCGAAGCGGGCGCCGTTACGATAAAAGAAGTTTTTCGGAGAGCGTATTCGGGAGCGTTCAATGGTCGAAGCAGCTATGCGCCACGCCGTCGTAGAGCTCTTAGCTAGCTAGTTCTGACTACGGGAGGTCTCGGGCCGCAGTTACGACCTCGAGAACAAGCGGGTTCGACTCGCGAAGATGACCATAATAGTCTTTTTGATCGACACGTCGGCCTCCATGAATCAGAGGGCATATTTGGGCGGGCGACCCACGCTTTTAGATGTAGCCAAGAGCGCCGTGGAGACTTTCGTGAAGGTACGCTAGTCAAACAGCTTTCCCGACCGGGAAATTCAATTGTGGTTACTAGCTAATCATTAGTTTGTATCATTACTAAAAAGAGCAACATATAAAACATATTTTTTTATTTCCCTTTAATTCATTTCTTAATTATTTAATCTTTCTCTTTTTTTTAGGTAAGACAAAGATCACCAGAAAGTCGTGGAGATCGTTACATGCTTCTGACCTTCGAAGATCCGCCTCAGAATATTAAGGTATGTTTTCTTTATATTTCACTTTTATACATTCGCATCTTGCATTTATTGTCCTTTTCCCTTTCTCTCGTTTCTAAGATCTCTATCTCTTACACGCATACATTTATTCTATGTTAGTTATTATGTATAGAATCCCATGTATAAGTCTTCTTTATGCTATGTTTTTTTTAAATATCTTTTCAATTTTTAATTATATTCATAATTGTCATATGTTATCATTATTTATGTAAAATTGTTATGTATTAGCTCCTTTCGATTGAATAATTGATATTCAATAAAAAGACAGCAAAGTGCAGCGTGCACTTGCCGTATCTTCCGTCCTCGGTTACGGAAGAGCAGCATTGTGGGTAGCAATATGTGGGTGGGGGAACCTATCCACGAGGTTCTCATGGTTTTGTGCGCGCCAAATTTATGAAATTAAAATATACAATTTCTTTAATAAGATAAATTTATTTGCTTTTATTTTTAAATTTATAAAATTTAAAAATATATTATATTATTTTTTGTTATTTTTATTTTAAAATGAATTTCTTCATTAATTTCTTTTTTTCAATATTTTGATTTAATTACATGTTATTTAATTTTAATATTATGTTAAATTTATAAGTTGTAAGTATATATAAGTTGAAAGAGAATTAAAGAAATTTTTTTTTGCAAAATTGAATATAATGAGTTAAGAATAATCCATTAAATTGAAAATTGTTATAAGAATTAAGATATTGCCAATTTAATAATGATAAAGAAATAAAATAAATTTTTCATATAACAATGTACTCTGAGATAATAAATAATTGCAATGAATTAAAAATATAATTTAATATTTTTGATATAATAAAAAATTAAGGAAATTATCAATAAAATAAACAAGTATTATAATTATAATTAAGTATTGTTGATTATGTAAATATATAATATCATATAGAGAATTTTATTATTACAGTCTATTTTCTCTTCCATTATTGCATAATTATTGCAAATATATTGCATATTTCAATGACATAACTTAATTTTAACAAGCTACAATTTTGCATTTTTCTTTATTTAATTATTCAATTATTAACTTTATCATTTTGGTTTTACAAATATTAAAAAATTTGCAAATAAAAAAGTTAAAATTTTGTTAATATGAATAATTTCAATAAAATATTATCTTTCTTTTTTATAATTTTCAATAATTATTTATATTGAAAAACAAATGTACTTAAGATTAGTATTAATTTTCTAAATAAAAAATAAGAAATAATGATTTTTATTTTTGCTTTTAAATAACTAAACAAATATTTTTATTCTTTTAGGCTGGATGGAAAGAAAATTTAGCTACTTTTATGAATGAGCTTAAAAATTTACAATGTGTTGGACTGACAACATTAGGTGCTGCTTTGAAACATGCTTTGGATGTTTTGAATATAAATCGAATGCAAACTGGAATAGACACATATGGACAGGGGAGATGTCCTTTTTATTTAGAACCATCAGTAATTGTTGTGATTACAGATGGAGGAAAATATACAACTAATAGTGGAGTTAATCAAGATGTAACTTTTATAACTAATTATAAAATAAAAGTAATCTTTTAATTTTTTTTTTGAAAAAAATGGTTAAACAATTATGGAAATTACTGTTGTAGTTCACATTGCCAATGCATTCTCCTATACCTGGATCTGAGCTTACAAAAGAACCATTCAGATGGGATCAAAGATTATTTTCTTTGGTACTTCGCTTATCTGGAACTCCAGCTGTTGAGAGAGATACAGGATTAGTGGCAAGTGATTCATCTCCAATTGATGCTATGTGTGAAGTTACTGGAGGTAGAAACAAGTATTTTCATTATATAATTTATTCTATTTTGTTTATAAAAATATACTGATATAAAAAATTTATTATTTATTATAGGTCGTTCATATTGTATAACATCTTTTAGAATGATGATGCAATGTATAGATTCTTTGGTACAAAAAGTTCAATCTGGCGTAGTAATAAATTTTGAAAAAATTGGTCCAGATCCTCCGCCATTAAATAACGAAACGCAACATGCAGACGATGATGAAAATGAAGATGAAAATATTGCAACGAACGGAACTCGAACGTATCCTCCTAATCCAACAGTACCAGGAAATACTGCATGGCATTCTTGCAGAAGACTGATTTATGTTCCACGATCTGCTCAGAAAGGTTTTGCAGTTGGATTTTGGCCAATTCCTGAAAGTTTTTGGCCTGATTTGAGCGCTAGTTCTTTACCACCTAGATCAGCGCATCCAAATGTAAAATTTACTTGTACCAGTCAAGAGCCTATGGTAATAGAAAATCTTCCATTTGATAAATATGAATTAGAACCAAGTCCATTGACACAATATATATTGGCCAGAAAACAACCAACAATTTGTTGGCAAGTTTTTGTGGCTAATTCTTATAAATCAAGTGATGTTGGTCATCCATTTGGATATTTAAAAGCAAGTACTAATTTAACATGTGTAAATTTATTTGTTATGCCTTATAACTATCCAGTACTTTTACCTTTATTGGAAGAATTGTTTAAAGTACATAGATTGAAACCAACAAATGAATGGCGAACACAATTTCAGAATTACATGAGAACAATGCCTACTTATTATGCAGCAGTAAGTTCTTAATTTATTATCAAAATACTTAATTTTTTTATTAATAAATTTTATTAATAAATTTGAATAATTCTATTTTTAATTTACAGTCTCTTAGGAGAGCTTTAACTAGAATGGGTGCACCTGCACCATTAGCACAAACATTAATACCCGATAATATGGATAATTCTTTATCGTATAGTGTCTTAAATTATTTAAAACGGTTAAAAAATCAAGCTAAAATTGAATTTGATAGACTTTGTAATGAGGTTCTTTCCAAACAACTTGCTACTGCCAATATGACAAAAAATTTAGTAAATGGTAGTACAACAACAGTAACAGAGGGAGTAAGAGTTACTCCTAGAACTCCATTAAAAAAAGATTTGGTAAATATTTTCTATCTAATAAAATAATTTTCAAAATTATCATTTATAATAAAAATAATTCATCTTATTTTCCAATTTAACAGGTATCACATCCATTATTACAAGATAAATTTACAGGATTGAGGGATCAATTAAATGAGTTTGGTGGTTTTGTAGTTGGATTAGTTAGAAATCAACAACGTGGGGCGCATAGCTATAGGAACGCGTTTGATGTTCCGCGAAAATCTCTGTTAGATCAAGTTGTTAGAATGCGTGCTAATTTTCTACAACCTGGATTATTACACACAAAGTTACTTGATGATGATTATGTTCATTCAATGCCATTGGCACAAATGGGAAATTATCAAGAATATTTGAAACGTATGACTCCACCATTAAGAGAAATAGAAAGTGCTCCAGTTAGACAACATATGTTTGGTAATTACTTAGGAAATTAATTAATTATTTTAATTTAAAAAAATATAATATATATATTATTATAAATTTATATTGAAGGACTATCTAATTTTTTATGATTAAATTTTAGGTAATCCATTCAAAATAGATAAAAGAATGATGGTAGATGAAGCAGATATTGATATGGTTGGAGCAACATCTTCAACTTCTAAAGGCGGTCTTAAACGTACTTTACCTACATCAGATGGAGGAGGATCGTTAACTTCAAAACCACCACCAAATAAACGTAAACCAGGTCCAATTCCTAAAGATGTAATAATACGGAGGCCGTCATACACACCTACGAATACTCCACCAAGTTCGCCGATACCATGGGTTGATGATACGAAAAATCAAGTAACTCCGACTGCCGACTCAAATTCAGTTTCATCGAATGCATTGAACTCATCTACTGGATCAAATATGTCATATGTAAATTCGCCAGAAAAATTAGTAAATGGCCTTGCAGAAATGCCAACGATACCAGTTTTTGAACCAATTCCAGTAGAACATACTAATAATCACATGGATGCACCACCAACTTTAACACCGATAGTTAATAATGTTGATACATCTAAAAGCGAAGTGAAAACTGAAAAGCCAGAAAGTGTTAAGAATGAGTGTAACAAACTACCTCCTAATGATTGTGTTGAAAATAGTGTGAAAGTTGAAAATTTGATTGATGAACGATTGTCTAATCATGTTGAAGAAAAACACGAAAAAATAGAAAAAGATAAAGTTTTAACAAAAAAAGAATTGGAAGATATTAGAAGGCATAATTTGTCTGTTCGAGAACTTGTATACAAAGAAGTACGAAGAAGAGGTACAAGTAAGTTGAAATGGATATTTCTGTTATTTTTTTTAATCTATAGTCCATGAAAAAAGAAATCTATATAAGACAATCAATATCAATAATTATAATCTTGTTTCAGATTATGCAACACTATTTTCACATTTACACCAAATTCAAGGAACTCTAGATATACGACTTGCATTTTTGCGAGATATTGTAAAAGAATCATTACGATTTAAAAGACGTAATTTGGCATCATTACTAGAAGAATATTTGAAAACTGTACAAGAAGATAACTGGACTATAAATCATAAAGTAAATCACAATGGTGCCACAAAAATAAGTTAATTGGGGCATTATTTTGATAACAAAAATAAGAATTCATTGAATAATGCAGAAAGTATAAAAGGGATACAAGATATAAAAAGCAAGTCGTACATCTATAAAGCGATGAACGTATTAGTGTTTAAGAATGTATGTTGCCAAGGCGCGAAGTGATAATAATTGTTAAATCTAATGAAACAAAATAGCATTCTGTCAACCAAGGAGATATGATTTTCATACTCCTTTTTTCTCGTTTTTTCTTGTTTTGTTACTGTACAGTTGGTAGAAATATGTTTCATTTTTTGTGAAAAATCAGAAAATGTGTGTTGCGACAATAAAATTTTCTCAGCAAAAATCTAATAAATTCATAAACATATGATTTTTATGGTTCATATCTCTAATATAAAAAATCTCGTATATATTCGTTTATTGAATACTCATAATTTTATATTTAATATTTTTCTATTTAATTATTTAATATCTTTAATATAAATTGATTATAAAATAATTGCCAATGTGTAATATAAGATATGATAATTTTTTAATTCTTGGTTTTGATATTTGATTATAAAAAAATATATTATTTATAGAAAATTCTATTATATCTTTTTTCCATAAAAAAAAGCAACTTATATAAATCTTCAATCTCGAATGCAGGCATTTGAGATATTCTTGGAAATAATAATTAGCAATTGTATGTATATGTATATATATGTATATATGTATATATACATATACACATAATTGCTATATATATATATAGCTCAATTTCTAAATTCTGCTACTTTTTAAATAAATTGATGTAAATAGCATCCTGAAAAAGTACAACTTTCAATCGAATAACATAATTCTGCCAACTTTACTAAGATTTTTAATAAATTAAAACAGAAATGTTTTCTTTAATTATGTTTTTCTTTTCTTTTTTTTTTTTACAAAAATTTTAGTGTACAGTATTGTGATTTAGCATATAAATGTAGATAAAAAGTAAATTCATTAAAGTATAACATGATTTGTAAGTTTAGTTATGAATGTTGTTAATATTATAAAAATTAAACTTTGAATCTGTTTTTTATAAAATGAAAAAATAAATTTAAAAATTTAATACATATCTTCTGTTTAGAAAGAAGTTGTAAACATTCAAATTTTGTAAGTAGAAAAAATATACTATTTTATCATGTAATTTGTTAAATTAAAATATTATGAAAATAGAAATTGTTTCATCATGATAAATATTTTTTTTTATATTGAATGCATGTTGTTTGTGAGTGAAAATTATCATAAGAGAATTGGATTTTCTAATTTTATCAAGAACTGAATTTACTAAAATATTTTCAGTGAAGGGTTGACAGTGCCTAATGCTATTGAAAATTAGCATAAAAAAATTGTATTTATTTTTAACTCACTTCAATAATTTTGTTTTAATTATTATTATAAAATATAAACAATGCATTAAGAAAACTTAAAAAGAAGAAAAACTACTTACATTTAAAATATATACATTTAAAACATAAATAAATTTTATTATTATATTTCATAATTCTTTTATATTGAATAGAAGTGAGTTAAAAAATTATAATAATAATAATTTATATAAATAATTAATGTCAAAATCACTTGTTGCTATCTATAAGGAATAATAGTGATTTGACCAAATATTAAGTAGATTGTCCTAAATTAAATAATCAGGAAGATTATCTTACCTATTGATGAATTAATTAAATCATGAATCATATATATACTAAAAATATATAAAGCAATTTCAACTACTTTTTAATCATCGCCATTATTTATATGAAAATAGAAAGAATTTTTATGAGATATACTAATATATTACAACATATCATCTATATCACTAAATGAATTAATCAAATTTAAATATAAAAGGGTTTGTTTTTTTATTTTCCAAATACATTTTGATATGAAGATTATAATTATTGCCCTTTTATATTTAAATATTTTTTAAGTAAGATAATCAACCTGAAATTTTTTACAGGGACACTAAATATCTATATTCTGCTCTTTGTAAATTTAGTAGTGAAATTGTATTTCAAATAGTATTTATTAATTAAAACGTTAAATGTTTAATAAATTATTTTATAATAATGGAGCTTAGCTGAGTCTTGAAGACAATGATGCTACACGCTTACTGGCTCCAAAGAGAAATTAATAAGAAAGTTGAATGAATATAACACAAAGTGCGATTCTATAATGAATTAGTAGTTAATAAGAAAAACTATAATAGAATAAATAATATAATTATGAAATTTTTGTTTAAAAAATTGTAATTTTTTAATGTATCAATATTTATTGAAACAGATTAATTGAAGATAATTATAAATGTCAAAACTGTAAAAAAATACTGTGTACTATTTTGATTAAGATAATGCATCTTGTAAGTTTGTAAACAAATATTTGTTTGTAATTTTTTTCACAAAAAATGAATTTGTGAAAAAATATTAAGATTATAAATTTAATACTTTTGCACATTAAAAAAAAAAGACTAAATTATATACTTTGAAAGAAAAGACTAGAAAAATATTAGTGTTCATAATTCTTTATGCCCTTACAGTCCATTAAATTAAGATAATTTTTTTTCTAGACATATCTTCAATTTACCTCTAAGTTCAACTCATATTGTAATATTTTATATTTATAATATATATATTTTTTTTTTATTACATTTTTCAAAATATATTTAATTATTTATATTTTCATTGTATCCAATATATTAATATATCTGTTATTGTAAAATATTGTAAATAAGCATATATGAATGATTATTATTAACAAAATATATATTGGAATAATTGTTTCATTTTTACGTTTATATTTAAAGATAAAGAAATATGAAGTTTAAAAAAATAAATCGAAAAAATTAAAACATATTATGGTCTATTATTTTCATCTAAATTAAGTATAATAAATTAAATATCTTATAAAAATTATTTACATATAAAATTCATTTTTAAATATTTAAAATATGTAAAAAAAATTATAGAATATTTAGGTTGTGTTTATATATATATTCACGTAATATATATTCACGTAATCATATTAAATAATAAATTATAATTCTAAATTATAATTATCAATAATATTATAAATTTAAATTTTATTCAATTTAAAATAAAATAAATAAGAGTAATTTATATAAAAAAAATATAAAAACTAGTAGTTTATACATCACAAAGATATATAGATGACTTTTTGTAAAAAGATCAATTAAATTTTATCTTAAATAATTATTAATTAAACAATTTATATTTTACACAATCTTATTTTATATATTGAATAATTACATAAGTTCTTTTCATATTATTTAAAAATAAAAATTTATTGTATATTCAATCAAAATTTATAGTATATATTATATATATGTCACATTATTCAATTTTATTCAATAAAAGAAACATCGATATTATAATATTTTAATATTTGTTTTAAAAAAATATTTAAAAAAGTTAATAGTCATTATTATATTTGGTAAATGAATAGATTATGTATTTATAATAGAAAAGATATATACATAAAATTCTGATATTTCTATATGAAGCATTCTCATTTGAAGTATTTAATTATGCTGTTTTACATGAAATTAGTAACATATGAAACTGACTTTATTATTAAATTTATTTTCTCCTGAAATATTAATTAAATTTAAATATATATACATATTAATAATAGCATTGATTAAATCTCAATTAATAATATGAAAGTAAATAATCATTATTTCCGTTATTTTGATTTTAAAATTTGAATTTATGATACGATATTATCTTTATACTATTCTTAAAAAACTTTATTGATAGTAAAGAATGATTGAATAAATTAATAATGTATTGAATAAAAATATTTATTTATTGTTGTAATTCGTGAATTACAACAATAAATAATAAGAAAAAATGATTAAAAACTTATAATTTAAAGAAACGAGAAGTATCGATAATTATAATCGATATTGTAGACTTTTAAAAAAATCGGCAAGTAGGATATCCTTTGGAAGGGATGAGAGACGGTGGCCGAGAGGCTCACATCAAAATGGCCGCATTTTAGTCTACAGACGATTTTCTTTACTGTTTGCCAATAGCCGCATAAAGGGCCTGGCAGTGTTCCCTTAAGTGGCAGATCTGTTTCGCAGGAAATTTCGCTGTTGAATAATCTGAAAATTTTCGTGAAATAGAACAAACTTCGGTAAGAAAATTCAACCGCATAGTTCCGCTGCCAAATAGCCGGGCCAAGCCCATTACCTATTGACTAGTTCATTTAGAGAATAGAAATTCTTCTTCTATGATTAAATTGTTATACCTACTAATTACAAATGAATTATTTAAATTCAATTCATAATATGTATGATATGATGTATGTTTGTAACTACTGTCAAATACATATGTAATTTAGTTATTGTTTTTAAAATTGTCAATTTTTAAAAATATATTGGTTTAACATAAATAACAAAATATTTTGTTAAAAATCATATTTTTATTATTTAAATATAAATTATCTTACAATATTTAATATTTATTATATTAATAAATTAACATTTTTTTTTTTATTAAAATGTTCATTACAAAAAAATTTCATTATAAATTTTAATATATCAAATTATAATAGAATCTAAACTTTTTTAAATAAGTTTTTTTTTTTCAATAAATTTTTTATAATATCTCACTTATTTTTATTAATATTTTTATTAATTTTAGGTTTTGCATCACTTTTTTTACATGATGTTACGCCATCAACATCACGCAATGCAAAACCAACTTCGAGATCATAATAGGTTTGTTATAATTATTGTAATATATGAAATTTTTTTTTATAATTTATATATAAATATATAACATATATTTAAATTTATAATTAGTTATATAGTTAAGTTATTTTATGTAATGATATATAATAATTATATAACATTTATATTATTTATAAATTATTATATATTTATATTATTTATAAATATATTTATATTATTATTCAAAATGAAAATTAATATATTTGTATTTGTTTTATTTAATGTTTTATTAGAATGGGTGGTCCGATGCGTCCTATGCAACAGGCAAATATGGCCCCTTTACATCAGCCTCAGCATCCGTTATCGCATCGGAATCCACATCAACAAATACTGTCCATGCCCCCCCATCAACAACATATTCATCATATGCAACACCCTGGTCCACCACATGGAAATCCAAGGCAACCAATGTTGATGGGCATGAATGCACATAATACGAATGGTATTTTAAACGGTATATTATAATATATTAATAAATTATTTGCATAATTAGAAAATTAATTGTGATTTTTTTTTAGGCACCATGGTTAGCGTCAGTCTAAAGGATCAGACAAATACTGTTTCTGTGACTCTACAAAATCCTAATGTACCACCACCACAGTATTCACAACAGCAAAACAATCAACGAAATCCTCCGCCTCCACAACATATTCAACAACCACAAAGCATAGAATCAAATAAACCTGCTACAAATGAAACAAAGAATGGAGAGTCCAGAGATCAGAGTCCACCTACTCAAAATCATATTAATGTGACTGATTCAGCTTTGGCAAACATGAAAGAAAAAACACCAATGTGCTTATTGAATGAATTAGCACGTTTTAATAAAATTCAGCATCAATACAGATTGACTAACGAACAAGGACCAGCGCACAAAAAACGATTTACAGTAACATTAAAATTAGGAGAAGAAGAATATGTTGCTGAGGGTCCTAGCATAAAAAAAGCTCAGCATAGCGCTGCTACTGAAGCATTAACAAAAACTTGGTATCAACGGCCTCCGCCGAAACCTACAAAGACGATGAGAGCTGGACATCCAGGAAAATGTTTTAGTGGTCCTGGTAAAAAAAATACATTATTGTATTTATCTTAATTAAAGAATGTAAAGAATATAAACATTATAAAATTTATATTTTTCATTATAGGAAATTTACCCCCAACTGTTGAATTAAATGCTTTGGCTATGAAAAGAGGAGAAGCTACTGTCTATACTTTTAGACAAGCCCCACCAGCAGGATTACAACAATATGTTACAAATAGTTTAGGACATTTTCCTCGAATATTTAATCCACGTTTTCCTACTTATAATCGTGGTTTTCATGCAGAACCTCAATTATATCTTGTATCCTTAAAGGTAAAGAAATAACGAAAATTCCAATATAAAATTTTATTACATGTATTAATTTATAGGTAGGAGAACGTGAATTTATTGGTAGAGGTCTGACAGGTCAAGCAGCGCGACATGATGCGGCGAGTAAAGCTTTAGAACAATTACGCCAATTACCATTACCGGAAGAAGTAGCAAATTGTAACACTGCTGAAAATGGTACATTAGGTGAAGTTAAAGATCCAATTGCAGAGTTGAAAAGTCCTGTATCTTTAGTTCATGAGAAAGCATTAAAACGTGGTTTACCTGTTAGTTTTGAAGTTGTATCAGAAATTGGTAAACCTCATATTCGAACATTCAGAACAAAATGCACTGTTGGAGATAAAGTTACATTAGGAGAGGGACCTTCAAAGAAAGTAAGTAAATATAATATTCTTTTTCTTTAATTTAATTTTATTTTTTTTAAAACATAAAACATATTAAACTTAATATTTATGATATAAGTATATAATATAAACTTAATATTAATATATAGGTATCAAAGAAACATGCAGCTGAATTCATGTTAGAAGAACTCAATCGTCTACCTCCGTTGCCAGAAACTATACAAAATCGTCTTGTTCGAGTAAAACGTAAACCACCGGCAACAAAAAAGAAGTCGCGAAATCTTATAAAAGTTTATCAAGAACCACGCTCTGAATCTGATGCTGCAGAAGAAGTTAATCCTGTTTCGCGATTGGATCAAATACAACAAGCTAAACGAGAAAAAGAACCTGTCTATAATTTAATTGAAGAAAAAGGAGCACCAAGGCGAAAAGAATTCGTTATGGAAGTTACTATGGGACAACATTCTGCTCAAGGAATTGGTCCAAATAAAAAATTAGCTAAAAGAGCTGCGGCAGAGGCTCTTTTAGCACAATTAGGTTACAGTAAGCCTCAACCACAACCTACTAAGCCATCAATTAAAACAGGAGAAAGTGAAAATACTGAACAAAAACCTAGGAAAGTCACATTTTTAGAAGATGAACAAATTAATGAAACTCAATCTCATCCACCAGTAGGAGGTAAAATTAATTTATGTATAATAAAAATTGTTATGCTGTTTATTCTATGTAAATTATAAAAAGCAAATTTTAAAAATTTAAGAATTATATATAATTTATTATATATGAATATTTTAAAAATTTATTAATATTAATATTAATATTAATATTTTTTTATGATTATTAATATTAATCAGGAACTATTGGACGTCAGTTAGTACCTGGACTTCTATTAGTAGATGGAGGTCAGGAATCTAAATTAGGCAGCGGACCTAGTGTACAAATTGTTGCCGAAGAATTACGAGGACAACAACAACAAAATCCACCTACTGTTTCTCCCAAAGATCAATTAAAATATCTCTCTCAATTATTTAACTTCAGCGTGGAATTTAATGATTTTCCAAAGGTAAATTAAAATCTTTAAAATATGTATTTATAAATAACATATATAATATTAAAATATCAAAAATAGTATTTATATTTTATATGTAAAGAAAAGAATAAATCAATATGAAACAATAAATTAATAATTAATTGATAATATTGTTTCTAGGGAGCAGTAAATAAAGAATATCTATCACTTGTAACATTAAGTACAGATCCACCACAAGTTTGTCATGGTAATGGGCCAACGAGAACTGCAAGTCGTAACGAAGCAGCATTGAAAGCTTTATGTACTTTAAGTAAGCTGGGTCTCGATAATGCATCCAACTCACAAACAAAAAAAGATAAAGGTGCGTCTGGAGATGGAATACACATTAGCATTCAAGTTAAAAACAATATAATGGATGGAGCTATTGATAAGTAATTATATAGTATTTAAGACTTATATAAGTTTACATTGCCCTTTTAAGGCATTGCAAAGGAAAATTAATTTAAGGATATTTCATAAAGTCATTGATGAGAACAATATATGTTAGAAAGAAAATTTTATATACCAAATGATTTCATTATAGGTTTAGTATTAATTTGTATATTAATATTAAACCTCTATATTGAAATTAAATAATTTTTAAGAATAATGATTTAATTGAATTCTCCTTAATTTATTATAGATAGACAGATACAGAAGTCAATGTTCTGTTTCATTATTATATGTTTATAATACTTTTTATTATTTAGGAATGCAAGTTTTTATTTTTAATAGTATATATGTTGCTTTTATCTATCCTCTTCCAATTATTTTTTACATAATATTAATCATGTGTTCTATTTTTATTAATATATTTACATATATTACAGTTGTTGAATGAAGTAATCGGAGGGAAAATGAGTCTTCTCGATCTATCTCTCTGGGCCTTATTACATGGTAACTTCAATATTGAATCACCGATGACTCTCGATCTTCATACATTACGCCATTGCTTCTTTAACTTAACGGATCGCGGATTTTGAAGATCAGTAGCTTTTTATGAAGGATCAATCTTTTGCAGTGCCTTAATCGCAACAAAATAATTGCTCAAGCACCAATAAATGATAAATAAATAACAAAGAAATATCTTTCTTTTTTTTCTTTTTCTTTTCTACTTTTTTTCTTTTTCTTTTCTATTTTTTTTATATATATATATAATAAAAATCGATTGTTTGTAGTAAGCTTTGATGGATATCTATAACAATTATAAGTATGGTACAAAGTATAAACATTAATACATAAATAAATACTATAATTTAAATCATGTTTTTTACACTTAAATATGTAATTGCATCATGAAATAATAAGTGTTATTGGTGCTTGATCAAGATTGTGATCCTAACAGTGGTTCATTGATTCTATTATATTTATTATAACAATTTCATTGATAGGACCACAATCAATAAACATAAAATGTTTAAACATCATGAATAAAATGGTCATTTTCCAGAGAGATGTGGTTTATGATCATGAAAGCATTATAGAAATGTTAAGCGAAAAATATTGAAATCTGAGATGAAATGCGGCCATCTCCTAATTTCTCTATTTAATCCTTGGCTTTCTCTTATTCTTGCGAATAAAATGTCTGTTATGTCTTATTACCTACTATGATCGCGTACAAATCAATGAAACAATTTTATGAGTCTTCATTTATATAGATCTAAAAATAATTTTGGTAGATTCATCTTATTTCATACAAAAATCTTTTACCGTTTTGTTGAGCAAAGCGGGATTCTTAATAATCATTAATTTTGAAATTGTATATAACAATCAAAATAAGTGTATTTTTTCGATTAGAAATTTTAAGGATTTATGTGTATTAAGTGTCTCCAACTGAGAAATCAGTTTTTTTATGATCATAACATTCACGCAAATGAAAGAAAATATTTAGAAAATATTTCTATTACTTTATTAAATCAATATTATTATTACACTGATTTATAAGAATAATTAACAGATAAGTAATAACAAATGCAAAAGATTTGACAATTGGTTGGGGACTCTTTAAATGTATTCGGATATTCTACAAGTTTCCGTTTTCAAATTTGTAAAATTAAAAAAAGGTAATGTGATATATTCATATTATTGCCCCAATTTGCTTTTCTATGGGGCCTAGAAGCATTCTGGGGTTATTCGTGTTTTACAAGATATTGAGAAGTAGAGGACATTCAAATTTTCATACATCCATTATCTAAAACGAAAATAAATCTGGATGTATTGGAAATTACAAATAAGATGGTAATAATTCAAAATTTGCCTCGTTGAGTCATAATTATTAAAAAAATATATTTAACTTAATCATAACGAAAAATAATAAAACAACATTGAGAAACAACGTTGTCAAATTTTGTTTTATTGCCAAAAGTTTATAACGATGAACTATTAAATTGATACAAAAAATATCCGATAATGAATGAAGATAATGTCGAATAATAAACGTTCTATCTATATAAGAACAAAGAAAATATAATATTTCTCGCATAAAGACTTATCTTATATTCATTATTCTCATCGTATCATTTTATAGGGGTTTCTTAAATATTAATGAATCTTTAAAAAAAAAAAACATACACAATGTTTCAATATGATTAATTTTCCACAATATTTCCATAATATGCTCCGTATCACGGAGATAGAAGAAAAGGATTGCTTCTATCATTTATAATACTTTTTTCTTTCAGATAACCTTTCGTAACGCGAAACCTTCCGAATAATTTATAGGTCACTCGAGGACGAGTTAATGAATGTTCCTTTTTCTGAGATATCGCTTCATAGGTGGGCCTTCCTTCTTCACGTGGGATTCAGTGTTCCAAATAAAAGAAACAAGGAAAATGAGTCATAATAAGACTCTTTCACATAATTATTTCGGTAAAAAAAAAAAAAAAAAAAAAAAAAAA